ATATATTCCACTTATAACTTGAACTATTGTATTATTTCTTCCTCAGTAACACTAAATGAGGAACTGTCTGGATCCAATCTGTCTCTCAGCAAACGAAGTATGGTTCTTGATGAGGACCGTTTTGAAGAACAGTTTCTGCGCTGCAACATCTGCCGGGAACGTTTCAACAACGACATGCTGCCTCGCATGTTGCCCTGCCACCACTCGTTTTGCCAAAGGTGCATCTGTCACCTATTTGACCTGGCCACGGAGCAGAAGAACACATTCCACGCCACCGTGCGACTACCTCTATCGGCACCGGCACACGCAGTCAACATCAGCTGCCCGACATGCAGGTCCAACTTTGTGGCCACTGATGAGAACATCAGACGACTCCCAACCGACCACAGAGTCGTCCAGCTAATGGACTTTGTCCACCACACTGACCACTACACCGTGACCTTCTGCTCAAAGCATAACTTGCTGCCTCTCAATTTTTTCTGTGAGCCCTGCATAAAGCCAGTGTGCAGAGACTGCACTGTACTGGACCACAAGGAATCGGAGAAGCATGTCGTCATGGACCTGGAGGAAGCTATGGCCAAATACACACCTGTTCTAGACATGGCCATCACTGAGATGGAAAATGAGAGCTTGCACCTGGAGGACAAGTTAGCAACTTTGAGCTCTATAACAAAAAATTTAGAAAAAGTCAAGACGGAGCTGCTGGGCGAAGTAAAGACGTGTATGTCCAGAATGCGGGAGCTCTTAGACGAAAGAGAAAAAACTCTTCGGGCTAAAGTGGAAACGGAGACAGAAAAGGAATGCAGCAAACTTCATGAAAAGTCCGAGCTGCTGGAGACTAGGAGACGTGTACTTATAGAACAGGCAAACAGGTTGAGGCACGCAAAGGATGAAAGCAATATTGAAGAAATGTTTCGGATACATCAGGAAGTTAGAGAGTATCGAGCTGGACCGTCTATAAGAATCCGAGAGGTGGATGATGGGCTGATGACATCATTTGTTTTAAACACCAGGGATGAGTCAATGCTGGTTTCCCGAATCAGCAATTTTGGAGATGTCACTAGCAAAGTGGAGACAACTTCTTCTAGAGGGAAAGCCTATGCCAAACCTATTATATACAGATCTGGTTCATTCCGTTAAGTCTCATCCTGATGAACAAGTTGTATAAATATGTAAATCTTTTCAGTTAAATGCCAAATATATGTACATAATTATTTTGTATATAGATGTCTACCTGTAATTTACGTATATAGATGTCTACCTGTTATATACATAATTCCAAACAAATTTTTTCTCACCTTTGGTGCTTTATTCAGATGTTTTGATAATTTTTAAGATTCTTCTTAGAAATGCTTTTTAAAGTTTTAGACTTTTCTTCTAGATCTAAAAATATTTTGAAATCAAAAATTTCCTTTGAGAAAATATCAGATGAGACAGTGTCAGAAGTCATTCTGTCAGTTAGATCAATAAGATTGATTTGTCCTATTTTAACCATAAAGTAGATCATCTGTGAAAAATGATCTAGATTAAGCTGAAAGATTTGCCCTATTTAATCACTATGTGTTGAGATATAAACAATGTACTTTATTTAAATTGATTACACATTGGGGTGTACTCACATCTGCCATTTTAACTCAACAATGATGAATAGGAAACTCAAACTTAACCTTTAAAACCATGAACTTTTATGTAATTAATAAATTCTCTAAACTTTGAAACAATTTTTTGATTAGGGACTTTTGAAATGAGGATTTTTATTTCTACATCAAAATAACTTTTATTTGAGCCTTTATTAATTAGAAGGAAAAAACATTATGGTCATCATCATTATATGGACCATCCACGATTCATGTCCCAGGTCTTTAAGGGGGTGGGGGGGTGGGTGGAATTGGTCATGACTTTGGGACCTTGTATTATGAGTGTCTAAATTGTCTGGCCACTTTGTGAGGATGGGTTGAGGGGGTCTAAAATCTGTAAAAGTTGCCTGACTACATTTATTTTTGTTATAACTTTAGTTTAGTTATGAATTAGACTTTAGCCTAGTTAGTTAACTGCTACTAGAGTTGTTTTAGAAAAAAAAATCTGAAATGTGCTCAGATATGAAGCATTTAATAAATCCTTTGGTCCAAGCTCCAAACCAGCAAAATTTTCATCAGTTAACAAACCCTCACTTTGAAAGCATTCATTGTTTTTAAGAAAGTCATTAGTTTCACTTTCTGATTGGTGTTAATTTATAATTACCTGTCAGTTATACACAAAAAAAATTTAAGTTCTTTTAAATTAACTAAAATTTCTAACTTATTTTTCAAACCAACACTAAAAGGCCCACAATTCGAAACTCTTTGCTGTAATCTACAAGGGAGGCAAATGTTTAAATTATTTGGCCCTGATTAATGTATCGGTGATAACTCCCTATTTTTGTGTGTGTTAAATTTATTAAATTTTTTAATGCAACATCCTTTCCTTAGAAATTCAATGGTATTTGCATTGCCAGTTGGGCTAATAGTAATAGTCTATAAAATTCAAACTTCACAACTGCTAGTAATTTGTGAGTAGGCCCATGATGCCATATTCATAATTAGGTATACGACGTCACTGGTATAATTCCTCTTATAAATTGAATTAATCGAAGTATGTTAAAAAAATAATTCAAACCTTTAAAAAAACTTTGTATTGTTTAATCATGGATCAATTTTTACAATCTTAAGAAAAAATAATTCTAGATCTTTATCTTGAATGTCTTTGCATTGATTGTTATATAGAAACTTGTAATCAACCTTTCTGTGCAATAATTTTGACTAACACTGTAAAAAAAAAATGACTCCATATTAAATGTGGCTTCTGGTTGCCGTGTAGTGATCAACTTCTGAAAAATGATTGTACATAGTTTATGTTGATAAATGCTCAAGCTCTTTCATGTTTTGCTAAACTCTTTTACTTACTGGTCTTTATATTTTAAAACATTTCAACTATATTCAACGTGTACAGAAAAGTTTATTTAAACCCATATTTCCAACTTTGATTTGAAATTTAAACATCTATAACCAAGCAATCTAATATTGGTACCCTAATCAAAATGTATCTGTGAATGAGATTTAAAATGTCTTTTATTAAAATATTAACAGGAATATTGAATGGTTTATTATTTTTTGGATTTACGAGGAGTGACAAATTTGGTAGCTTAAGAATTAATGTAGACATATGAAAAATTAAAATCACAAAACTTGTACGTACTTTAAACATTTAATAAATATGAATGAATTTGATGTTCTTTATTTAAAAACTTATTTTTTGTCAAGTGTTTGTTATAGTTATAATACTTAAATGAGCCCACTGTAGTGTATGTCTGCAATTTGTGGAATGAAACAGCTGATTATTTAAAAGCTGTTGGCCTAACAGGAACCTAACGTTACTAAATGTCTGTCTACAGGTACTCATGATACGAACCCATTTAAATAATCTATGAAAGATTGAATTTTAAATTAAGTCTTTCTAAAGCACGGGGGGGGGAGTATTTACAACACTTAAATTTAAACATAAATAACAAATAGAGGGAGCAACAGTTACATTTAAATAACATGTCAAGGATGCAAAAGCTCGAAATATATACAGATTTAGATTAAAATATTTTGATTTGATTTTCCCAAAGTGAGGCGTACGCCCCACGGGGAGGGGGGAAATGCCAAGATTATGTCCAGACATAGTATCTAGGTTAGGAAATGTTTTTAAATATTAAAAAAAAAAGGGGGTGGGGGCACAATGTTTGACAGAACGATATAAAAAATTTTAACCACTGATTTTTTTAAGCCAAGTATTGCAATACAGCTATATATATTTCAATTATTGTCAGTTTTATATTGAGCCATAAACAAAGCACCAAAACTAAATTTGATTTTACTGATGGCGCTTCTTAGGTGTTGTGGACACTGAGGTGGGACACTGAGGTGGGACACTGGTTTGGCACGTTTCTAAAGACAATTTAAAATCTAGGCAATAGCAAAAGTATATTCAATCTCAACCAACGTTTTATAACAGAGAAATCTTTAAAAAAATTAAAAGTATATAATATGGTGTAATCTACTGTGAAATAAATTCATAAACAAAATGTGTTCATTGTAGAAACAGCAAGCCGCGGGAACCTCCTGGTGGCTCCACCGCGCCAGCTTGTGAACCTACTGGCAGCTCCACCATGTCAGCTTGTGAACCTTCTGGCAGCTCCGCCATGTCAGCTTTACAACCTCCTGGCAGCTCCTCCATGCGTGCTTGTGAAACTTCTGGCAGCTCCGCCATGTCAGCTTGTGAACCTACTGGCAACTCCACCATGCTAGCTTGTGAACCTCCTGGCAACTCCATCATGCTAGCTTGTGAACCTCCTGGCAGCTCCACCATGTCAGCTTGTGAACCTACTGACAGCTCCGGTATGCCAGCTTGTGAACCTTCTGGCAGCTCTGCCATGTCAGCTTGTCAACCTCCTGGCAGCTCCACCATGCCAGCTTGTCCACCTTCTGGCAGCTCCGCCAGGTCAACTTATGAACCTACTGGCAGCTCCACCATGTCAGCTTATGAACCTACTGGCAGCTCCGCCATGCCAGCTTGTGAACCTACTGGCAGCTCCGCCATGCCAGCTTGTGAACCTACTGGCAGCTCCACCATGCCAGCTTATGAACCTACTGGCAGCTCCGCCATGTCAGCTTATGAACCTACTCGCAGCTCCGCCATGTCAGCTTGTGAACCTACTGGCAGCTCCGCCATGCCAGCTTGTGAACCTACTGGCAGCTCCGCCATGTCAGCTTGTGAACCTACTGGTCGCCATGCCAGTTTGTGAACCTACTGGCAGCTCCACCATGCCAGCTTGTGAACCTACTGGCAGCTCCGCAATGTCAGCTAATGAACCTACTCGCAGCTCCGCCATGTCAGCTTGTGAACCTACTGGCAGCTCCACCATGTCAGCTTATGAACCTACTGGCAGCTCCGCCATGCCAGCTTGTGAACCTACTGGCAGCTCCGCCATGCCAGTTTGTGAACCTAATGGCAGCTCCACCATGCCAGCTTATGAACCTACTGGCAGCTCCGCAATGTCAGCTAATGAACCTACTCGCAGCTCCGCCATGTCAGCTTGTGAACCTACTGGCAGCTCCGCCATGCCTGCTTGTGACCCTACTGGCAGCTCCGCCATGTCAGCTTGTGAACCTACTGGCAGCTCCACCATGCCTGCTTGTGACCCTACTGGCAGCTCCGCCATGTCAGCTTGTGAACCTACTGGGAGCTCCGCCATGTCAGCTTATGACCCTACTGGCAGCTCTGCCATGTCAGCTTATGAACCTACTTGCAGCTCCGCCATGCCAGCTTGTGAACCTACTGGCAGCTCATCCATGTCAGCTTATGTACCTACTTGCTTCTTCACGTGATAGTATAAATATAATTGTTTGTTTATTCACGTCATCAAATTATTACAACTTCAAGAATAACCTTTTTATTTAATTCTAATAGCATTGTTTCTTTCTCTCTTTGGGAGCGCGCCCGGCCAAATCTAGATTAACAATATGAAATATTCATCCTATTCTTTCAAACTAGGCCTAATTTTTAATTAACTATAAATATAATATTATTCAATTCAGTTATTATTTTAGTTACATAGCTATACCTTTTAAAATGCAGGTGCTTTTAATTACTGACGGCAGTGTGTTTTATTCAGACTAAATAGCGGCTTGTTATATTCCCATGTGGCATGTTGAGGGTGTGATGCACTGTAGCGAAGTTATTGCTCAGAGATTGATGCTCATAATAATCCAATAAGCCAACACATTTCTCACATAAGTTGACAAGAATTTTTGTTTTAAAAAATATGAAAAAATAATAAATTAATTTTTGCATCGTATAACTTATAAGTAAAAGCCTTCATTGTATTATCAGTGTTCTCTCACCATCTTTAGACTTTCTCATGGTACAAAGATTATTTGCAGTTTAGTGTCTGGTGTGTCGGGCACAACAATTTTCTTAGTGTCCAAGTGCACATCTGACCTTTGCTGAGAATGTCACACTATAAACTAACACTGTTGAGAATGTCATAAAATAAATAAACACTGTTTAGAATGTCATACGATAAACTTAACTAGCGTAACACAATAGGTTCATATCTCAGGTCATATGACTTAAAGGCATAGAGACATGTCATAAAAATAGCCCAACGTATATTTGAAACTCTGCACCCACCCACCCACCCCCCTCCCTTTTCCAGGCCAGTAAGGAGTTCGGACTGACCATCAGTCTACAGAAAACAAACGTCATGGTGCGATGATCACAGTCCTCTCGACCTCAACTAAGGCACATCATCAGGCAGTCGTTGGAAACTTGACATTCCTCTAGCTCATGCCTGGAGCTCAATCCCTCTTATGGAAGAGGGGATGATGAGAAGGCGAAAAGCAGCAGCAGCAAGTATGGCCGCCAAGTTCAAGACATTTGTGTGTGTGGAACAATTCTAAACTAAATTCTCCTAAAGCACACAACACTACGTCTATCAGGAACCTGTGCTCACTATGGCCCTATATAGCAGTGAAGATTGGACCCCAGATGCCAGGCGCTTTCGATGGCAGGGCAAAGGGCTTAACATAGTGGTTTGAGACGCGCTGAAGAGTACAGCATGTTCTCCACTCTTAGAGGAGGATGGTTAGACCATAATGGATGAAGGCTGGTTAGACCATAATGGATGAAGGCTGGTTAGACCATAATGGATGAAGGCTGGTTAGACCATAATGGATGAAGGCTGATTAGACCATAATGGATGAAGGCTGGTTAGACCATAATGGGGGAAGGCTGGTTAGACCATAATGGATGAAGCCTGGTTAGACCATAATGGATGAAGGCTGGTTAGACCATAATGGGTGAAGGCTGATTAGACCATAATGGATGAAGGCTGGTTTGATAATAATGGATGAAGGCTGATTAGACCATAATGGATGAAGGCTGGTTGGACCATAATGGATGAAGGCCGGTTAGACCATAGTGGATGAAGGCTGGTTAGAACATAATGGGTGAAGGCTGGTTAGACCATAATGGGTGAAGGCTGGTTAGACCATAATGGATGAAGGCTGGTTAGACCATAATGGGTGAAGGCTGGTTAGACCATAATGGATAAAGGCGGGTTAGACCATAATGGGTGAAGGCTGTTTAGACCATAATGGATGAAGGCTGGTTAGAACATAATGGGTGAAGGCTGGTTAGAATGAAGGCTGGTTAGACCATAATGGGTGAAGGCTGGTTAGACCATAATGGATGAAGGCTGGTTAGATCATAATGGATGAAGGCTGATTAGACCATAATGGATGAAGGCTGGTTAGACCATAATGGATGAAGGCTGGTTAGACCATAATGGATGAAGGCTGGTTAGAACATAATGGATGAAGGCTGGTTAGACCATAATGGATGAAGGCTGATTAGACCATAATGGATGAAGGCTGGTTAGACCATAATGGATGAAGGCTGATTAGACCATAATGGATGAAGGCTGGTTAGACCATATGGATGAAGGCTGGTTAGGCCATAATGGATGAAGGCTGGTTAGACCATAATGGATGAAGGCTGGTTAGAACATAATGGGTGAAGGCTGGTTAGACCATAATGGGTGAAGGCTGGTTAGACCATAATTGATGAAGGCTGGTTAGACCATAATGGATGAAGGCTGATTAGACCATAATGGATAAAGGCTGGTTAGACCATAATGGGTGAAGGCTGTTTAGACCATAATGGATAAAGGCTGGTTAGAACATAATGGGTGAAGGCTGGTTATACCATAATGGATGAATGCTCGTTAGACCAAAATGGGTGAAGGCTGGTTAGACCATAATGGATGAAGGCTGGATAGATCATAATGGATGAAGGCTGATTAGACCATAATGGATGAAGGCTGGTTAGACCATAATGGATGAAGGCTGGTTAGACCATAATGGATGAAGGCTGGTTAGAGCATAATGGGTGAAGGCTGGTTAGACCATAACGGGTGAAGGCTGGTTAGACCATAATGGATGAAAGCTGGTTAGACCTTAATGGGTGAAGGCTGGTTAGACCATCACGGGTGAAGGCTGATTAGACCATAATGGATGAAGGTTGATTAGACCATAAAGGATGAAGGCTGGTTAGACCATAATGGATGAAGGCTGGTTAGACCATAATGGATGAAGGCTGGTTAAACCATAATGGATGAAGGCTGGTTAGACCATAATGGATGTAGCCTGGTTAGACCATAATGGATGAAGGCTGGATAAACCATAATGGATGAAGGCTGGTTAAACCATAATGGATGAAGGCTGGTTAGACCATAAAGGGTGAAGGCTGGTTAGACCATAATGGATGAAGGCTGGTTAGACCATAAAGGGTGAAGGCTGGTTAGACCATAATGGATGAAGGCTGATTAGACCATAATGGATGAAGGCTGGTTAGGCCATAATGGATGAAGGCTGGTTAGACCATAATGGATGAAGGCTGGTTAGAACATAATGGGTGAAGGCTGGTTAGACCATAATGGGTGAAGGCTGGTTAGACCATAAT